CATGGGGATGTGTGAATTCTAGCTGTTGCAGCAGCTGCGAGAGTTTGCAAAGGACCCCATGAGAACTGCAAAACCAGCTGCAACCAGGGTTTGTTCCCTGTTTGAACGCTCTTTCCATCTTCAAAATTAAAACACACCTGTCTGTGTAAAGGGAAGCAGGGGGACAGGGTTTGGTAAAGGAACCTCACCCTTAAGAGTGCTGGCATTTCTGCTACCCTGGCAAACCTGATCGACAAAAACAAAACAAAACAAAACAAAACAACAACAAAATAACAACAACAAAACAGTTGGGGAATATATACATCCCTGCAGATCAGGGATATCTGGCACTGACAAAGCACAGAGCAACTTCCTAGCAGCTGGAAAGTTTAGGGCCTTGTAATATTTGAACATGCTGTAAAGTTTTGTTTTTGTCAGCTCATGCTGAGAGCCTGTATTACTGGAGTACCCCTCTGGAGCATAAAGCCCTTCCAGATATTTGCTGGATGCTGCCAGGATGCCAGCTGGGAGCTACACCTGCCCTCCCTGTCTGACGATTTGGCTCTCCTGCTTGCACAGACACCGGTCTGTAGTGGTGGCTGTGGGAAGAAGAGGGGTCAGCATTGCACAGGGGCTTTGAAAAGAAAATACATGAGGGGTTCTTGGATGTCAGTGCGCTGCAGACCTCACCGTTTCCATGTCTGAGCTCAAAACACAGCCACACTGTGTGCTGCAGGCCCAAATCAAACCTCTCTTACTCAGGCCAGTGAAGCACTTAAAACATTTTATAGCACTATTTTTTTTTGACTTGTAAAAGCCTATCAGTGAGCACTCACTCCATTTCCCAGCTAACGTGGAGATCCTGCTGCTGTGTGCTGAGGAGATATGTCTCCATGGGAGGTCAGGCTTTGAAATTGTTCATTGTAGCTTTGGGCTGAGCTTCAGCAAAATTCAAGAGGAAGTAATTTATGAAATGCGTTTTATTACGCATTGGCAGGAGGCATTTGAGCATGCCTTGTTCCTAAGAGCCTAAAGACGTGTGTGGCCCCAGACCAAGCCCTGACCGACTCAAACAATTTCTGTTGCTGGACTTTCTTCCCGAAACATACCCTAGCGAGGCCTTCAACGAGTTTTAGGTGGCTCATGTCACAATTTCCACTACCAGCTCCTGTCAAAATCTCTGCTGCTGGAGAATTCCCTTATATAAAGGGGCCTCGGATAGGTCTCTGATAGCCTTTGGCTAGAAATCTCTCTTCTTCCTGTCAACTCTTTGCAAACCGCCCATGCCTCCGACTTGTCAAACTCTTCCTGAGGCGAGTTAACAACTTCAGTCCTAACAAACCTCTGAGACTTGGCTTCAGCTGAACTTACTGAGGAAAGCAGGAAGGAAAGAAACATCTCCAGTCCCCTCCCCCTTACAAACTATAAATGGCTTCACAAAAATATAGAGCTACCCTGTTTTAAGTGCTCATGTTTAACCTGACTCTTGCTGCAAGATGAAAATGGGTACAAGGCCCAAAGCAGGTGGGGTTTTGCTGCGGTATGGGCTGTGCAAAGGCACTGGGGAAGGGCTGGAGGGATTGAACTTCATCAGTGACTTCAGACCTTCAGATCTAATTGAAGGCCCAAACTCTGTGCCTTGCTCCAAGAGACAGATTTTATAAAGCCCAAATCCCCTTTGGAAAAGGCCATCAGGTGAAGGGAGCTGATTGTGGGGAATGAGATGCTCTGGTGTGGATGGCAGTGTGGCTCTGACTTGTGCCACCAACGTTCTCTGAGATGACAAATCCCTTCCATGTTACCTCAGCAGAGCTTTGCTGGTTGTTCATGAAGAGTGATTAACAGATCATTCTGGAGTAATCAATACCCAAGCCAGGACATGAAGCACTCACCTCAGCTTTTGCTGTTAGAGGCTCTGCAACTGATAACAACAGAAGCACCTATATGTGTGTGAGAAGAGCTGGAAATGTCATCTCAAACAGCAAAGGTGTTTTATTTATTTATTTTAAATTGGGGTGTCAGAAGCAAATAGAAGAGTAAGAAAAAATGACATTTAGAATAATAAGGTAAATATTTTTCTTAGAGCCACATGGTGTAGGTAGTTTGCTCCCATTTGCCATTGTTTGGTTTTTGAAGGCACGTTTCCAGGAAGTTGTTTTTACGTATGCCAGGTGTTGATTTGTGCATGATTATTCATTTCACTTGCTGCAGATGAGAACTGGTTGGAGTAACTGCTCTAACTACAAAATACACTTTTTTGGGGGGCCTTCCCCTTCCCCTTCCCCTTCCCCTTCCCCTTCCCCTTCCCCTTCCCCTTCCTTTTGGCAGAATTAATTTATATTAAATCTGTGGTGCTTCTGGAAATGGCTGCAACTTATTAGTTGCATTAAAAACTAATTTTTTCTTTCTCTTGACATCTTCTGTAGAACTTGATAGCCTGCTCTTGGGGTTGCTTCACTGATAGTTTCAGTCAGTGATTTTATTGCCTACTGCTCCCATCCAGGAGACACTTGATATTTGTCTTGCCTGTTTTCAAGAATTATTAGTAGTGGGTATAGTTATTCACATCTTTTGACTGCTGTTTATTCCCTATTCTTTATGGATGGTTTCAACTCTAGAAATTGTTTTGCTAATTGATTTCAGGATGGATTCTCTTGTGGCTGAGGAATTAAAGTTTGTAATGGCTCTTTCATGACAAATTCTTTCCAGTAACCATATTGTGCTTGGACTTTACTCTTATTTTTAAGAAAATAAATAATATGCTTGGCATAATTAACCACATTTGATATTTTTCTTAGAAAACAAAACGTGATTCTAGCATTATTTTAGCTGACTCTATTACAGTAATTTTTGTAACTGTTGCTACTATTCAATTCCTTCTTTAATGGTGGATTGTGTATGAGCTAATTTAAATTATGCAGAGCAGATGAACAGGTCCTGCTATTTCAAGTGTGTTTAATATTTCATTGGCTATTATAGAGGGAAGGTGTTCAGACAGCCGTGTATCACCTCATGTGTTATTCTGCCTTTGTTTTTCTACAGAAGTAGTAACCTTGAGATGTCTTTGATCTGTAGTGGCTGTACAGGACTGCTTTTTTGCTAGTGTTGGTTTGCTGGTATTGTGGCTAAAAGGATGGGTTGGCAATCTGTGGCCCTCCACCACATTCTCTGCCCACCGGCACCTTTTCTGATGGTTTCTTTGTCCCGTGTTGTTTTTTCTGGAATCACCATGCAGGAATATGCAGCTGCGTGGACAGCCTACAAGTGCCATTTGACTCTGGCTGAGACTGGAGATCCACCTGCAGCAGCCCTTGCTGGTAGCTTGAAGGCATCACTGCTTTTGTCCAGTGTCTGGGTAATGGATTGCTTCTGCAAACAATCTGTTTCTCCTAAATCACTGGTTCCCCTCCCTTGGTCTTGTGTTAAAGAAATACATCTGTGCCTGCAGCTTGTAAAAGCTCAGCATTTCTGGGTGGCTGCTGGGATTTGCATGGGAGCCAAAGGCAAATGGATTTGCTTTTTGACTTGCTGCTGTTGGACGTCTGTCAGATCTTTCTCCCCTTAATAGAGGTAGGCAAGGTGTCAAGCTGTGGTCAGTCCCATTCCTCTAAGCAGAGCAAAAGTCTTCTGACTAACGTGTTGGGCAGGCTGCTGGGATTCTTGGTCTTTTATTAGTCTCTGAGAAGACTTGTGGCATGCAGGAATGCCAGCTGGTTCCCTTGGTGCTTTCCTGGAGGGCCTATGTATGGTTGGATTCAGAGGTCAGCCTGAGGTCTAAAATGGGATGGAGGTGTAACATAGGTGAAAGTCTGTGGGATGGAGCAGGCTCAAGAACTCATTGGGTTCCTACATTTTCAATGACAGAGTTATGCCTACTGAAATCTGGTCTTGTGCGTGTGTGAAGCTGTCCTACGCGGTGGAATCTTGAATCTGTTGTAATCCATTTGGGGGACCTAAACTTTACTGAAGTCCCTGGAATGGCCTAACCTGTTTTAAGTATGTTCAGATGCTTTTTAATAGCACCATAACTTAGTCCCTCAGGCTGAATTCAATCTTGGGTGCCTCTGCTTAGGGGATGCTTAGAGTGGCAGTTTCTGGTGCTGCTAACTTTATAAAGTTTATAAAGACACAGACATCCCCTTGGGCAGGGCTCAGGCCCACCTTTTTTAAAAAAGGTTCAAGTTAGAGCTCGGCTCCTATCTGTTTGCTCAGAGAGCCTCAAATAAATCTGCAAAACAGCCCAACATCAAGAGGCCGAAGGGACAACAATCTAATCTGAACATTGTGTGGTGTCTCTCCGGATTTTAACCTTAAATCTTCAAGTTCATTTGGGTCCATGATTTTTAAACTGATCGTATGAAGTGGCTTTAGATGAGGAAGCCTTTCTGGTAGGCTTTTTTTTTCAGTGGCTTTGGAAAAGGTTCTCAAGGATAGTACTCTTTTGGTTAATTAGCCCTTCCCTGTTATAAGGACTTAGAGGAAGCATAGAGTGGCAATATTCTTTTACTTTATGCCTGCCAGAAACCACTCCTCTGAGTGTCACGGCACCAAGGTCCTCCTCAGTTTCCCATGACTAACTATGGTGGTGTTTCATGAGGTTTCTCTGGGACAGCCCAGATACTGAAGACCCATGTGAAGATCCCAGGCCAAGCCTCAACAGACACCAAGAGCAGACTTGGACTTGTTCACTGCTTGTGATTTAATGCAACAATTTCCCTAAGAAAGGGAGAGAAAGGACTCTGGTAATTGCTGCCAACAGTAAATGTTTATATCATTCTTTATATAAAGGCTCCTATTTCCCACCAGATGCATGTGGGGATTCAGATCTGCTATCCTGCAGACTGCAGGAGATAGATCTTGCAAGACAGACAATGATGCAAGGAAAAGAAAAACATTTGATCATTGCTAGCTAGTCACTTTTCCAGTACGATTAAAGCACGTATATTTAGACCTTCATTGTCTTGGAGCTTAATGAGGAGTCAGAAGATGCAGCAAAAATAGTACACACTGTAAGAATTTACCTGTGTGTGCTGTAGCTGTTAAGAGGGATTAAGAGGATTAGACATTGATGAGACACAAGGAAGTAAGAGATCAGTCTGTTTATTCCACTTTCAGATGTACATGTTCTTAATTTAAAGTGCAGCACTTGATTTCTTACATTATTTATTATTATTATTAGATGCCACGTCTCGTCTCAGCATATTTATTTTTTTAAATTACATATCCAAGATTAAATGCAGCCTCTTGCCAGTGTTTATGTTCTTCTGCCTATTCTTATAATTATTGTTGATAAGAGGTGGCTTTCAAGTTAATAACATGTGGATTGATAAGGCAGCTGTTATTATGTTACCTGAGTGCTTTTTGGAAAGCTTAGCTTAAGGGCAAATTGTGTTTCCTCCAGCATACAGTGCCAAATCCCTGGCTCAGAGACCACTGCCAAAGGTGGTGTTTGTAGCTGCAGAGTGCTTGGCTAGCATCTGACAAACTGCCCTGATACTGCTTGCTCTTGGACATTGGAAATCAGTAAGCACGGCTGTTTTTGGGGGTGCACAGGGGGGTGCCTCCTGTGCTTATTTTAGAGCCACACGAAGGTTTCTGCTCCTTTCGTTTCTGCTCTTCTCTTCTGCTCTCTGATGCTCTTCTCATCATTCTCAGGTAGTAGATCCGGTTGGCTTCTGGGTAGGTGACTTTGCAGAGGGGGATTTTGTAGAGGGCTGGGTTGTCTGAAGTTATCATCAAGAAGAGAAGTGCAGAGAAGCAAAAAGGCCAGGTACAGAGTGGCAGTCCAAGCTGGGAGGGGACAGGACAGACAGGTGCACTTTGAAACCTTTCACCATCCTGTCAAATACCATGTTCTGAGAGTACTACTCACAAACATTCACAGTCAGTGCCCATGCGTTCCTGGCATTGTGTCCAACCCTCAGTTCTGCACTGTGCTCTCACCTCCTGACCTGGCTTGGAGTTTGCCAAAACCGAGGTCACAAGAAAAGAAATAGGTGTCCTTTTCCCTGATGCATCCCCAAACCAGGTGTGGTTAACAAAGCAACCCCTCTGCGTGGACCTACGCTCTGCTGAGAAGGTGCCAGATGAGTACATTTAATGCATTTAAGCTGCTAGTTCTTTTTTTTTCCTTGTAAGTTACTAAATCAATTTTATTAAAATATGGTTTTGCTTTAGTCTCTCAGATCTTCAAGAAGAAACAAAACATGGCTGTTCTGGCTTCATCTCTTTCTTGAGCTGTCCAGATACAATCAGTTTATGTTTAAGAGAGCAGTGGCTTTTTTATTTTCATTTTTTTAACTTGTATAGTTCTTGTTGCCAGACCAAACTTGGAGAAAAAAAATGGTGGGAGAGTGTGGAAAAAGACCTTGGAAAAAGCAAGGAAAACAGTAGACTGCTGTATTTGTTTAAAAATGCTGCCTGTAACTAAATCTTGCATCTCAAACTACAAGCTGTTTCTGGAATTCACATACATACGCACACTCCCACTCCAAAGTTTTTTGAAATCATATTTGCAGCTGTAGTCTGCAGGTGCACTGTTAACTGTTGTGAAATCTATAAAAGACCTGCTGCTGGCTGCAGCATTCTCACTTCAATGCTGTCAGAACTGACAATTTGGAGGAACTTCCTTGGCTTTATATAATGATAAAATCAAGAGTACAGTTAAACAAAACCCCCAAAATAACTAAACTTACCACAGATAGGGCATTAGTAAAAGCTGCTCCAGAGTAGGCACAGAATAATGCTGAGGAAAGAAAACCAAAGACAGCTCAAGATGAGGAAAGTCTTGTTCATCTTTCCAAAGAAATTATCAGAAATATTAAAGTGTCCAAATGCACGGAAATGATCCTCCCAGCTACTTGATGTGAGGTTTAATGTTAGAATTCAACAGTTAGTTAAAATTTTTGATTTTGAACTGAATTTGTGCAGTAGCTCTCTATTTATGATGCATTTCCTATAAGGATAAATGAAATGGCTGATTCTATGAATCTGCTGAGTTTTGAATTTGTTAGGCTTCTGCTCATGGCAGAGCTGTGCTTTCACAAACCCTGCTGCTTCTGCCCCTTCTAGATGTTTCTGTTCTATCAGTATCTAAAGACCCTTCCTTCCGCACTTGACTTGCAACCACTTGTGACTAATATCTGATGCCATCACTGAAATAACTCTTGCACAGTGACATATTTTGCAGCAAACAAAACATGGAGTCCACAGTTGACTCCAAGCCTGTATTGTTCATAGACTGTGTGGCTGCATCAATTTTTGGCTCCCCTTAATGTAAAAGATACATACCACAAGCAAGTGCCAGCAAGTGAGTCTGCCAGGTCAGGGCATAGAACATGCCTCCAATCGCAATGCATGCAAGCGCGCAGTTGTAATTGTGTAAGCCAAGGTAGATGCTGTCAAAGGGTGTTGCGATGCTCAGTGCTGCAAGACAAAAAAGCAGGGTGTTGAGGTCAGGTATGAAAAGTATCTGCAGGAAGATCCGTGACTTGCAGGGAACCCAATCCCCCTTCCCTATGATATCCAGACATTTAACTGGGTTCACAGTTGCATGACAACCATGTGCAGAAAAAAGGTGAAATAAAATGAAGTTTATGATTTTGGTGCTATGATGATGTCCTTGGGGTTGGTGTTTGAGTCAGTCAGAAAGGTTTCTTTCAGAAAAACTTCCTGCTTATGCCCTGAGTGTGTTGTGGTTAGTACCCCAGATCTCCAGATGGAGGATCTAGCCAGAGTGCACGAGGGGTTTCTGGCTTAGCTTTACTGCTTGCAGAAATCTGTGCTCACATATATTGTTTAAAGCTCATGCATACCCTGAGCTTCAGTATTGGAGGAACAGCTGAGTGTTTTTTTTTTCTTTTTTTTTTTTTTTTTTTTTTTTTTTTTTTTTTGTGGGAGGAAGCAGAATTTTCCATCTTTTCCGAGTGACCTTTGCTAAAATACTAAATGTGGCCACTCCATCATTGCTGTGGAAATTCTCCAGTCGGGTGGGAGCTGAGGGTCTGCTCCAAACCTGATGTCATAGGTACTTCTACAGGCTTCAGGTGTACCAATAAAAAGGATAGCACAATATGTAGTACACAGGCCACCTTATTTTTAAGATCAAGACATTTCCTGCTATAATGCCCTCATTCGTCTTCTGTTCCTTTTCACCACACTTACTCCCACAGACTTTCCCCTGACCTTTCTCTTCTAGATTAAATGTCAGATCTGTACCCAACTTGCCAAATGCTCTTAACTGTACAAATTGTGGATAGTTTTGTTTAAAAAGACAAATGCAAGGCAGATGACATCTTGTATAAAGCTTTTCAGAGCAGAAATCAGAACTTAATGTTGCATGTCTGCACCTTTTTTTAGAGGTACTTGCCTCAGACCACACTTATTTCATCATAATTTTTTTAAACTAAAATTGCTCTGATTGCATTGATCTTGTCTGTCTTAGCTTAAGACTGTTTCCCAGAGACAGGCTATTTTGGGCAGCATTCATTGAGCTGCTTTTACAAATCTGCAGCAAGGTAGAATGAACTCTATAGTAGAAAAGTCTGTTTGTTCTCATTGACTGGTTAGCTCTGAGGCAGATCTTTGCTCGTGGTTGTAATTTAACATACTTCTGGTGGCAAGAGATCAATGAAATTATTTCTTTTTTTTTTTTTTTTTTTTTTTTTTTTTTTTTTTTTAAATCATCATCTCCATGGGATTCATCAAGGTGGAACAAATACCTGCCTGAATTACAAATCTAGTACCAAATTCAGAGCTTAAAGAAAGTATGTTTCTGTTCTTGCCTTCACCATGTTGAGTGACCTTCAGTAAGACCTTTGGAATTTAGAGAGACTTTCAAGGATAGGAGTGTATTCCCAAGTATATCTAAGCCCATTCATCTATTAAGTCTGGACAGAATCTCCTGACATCTTGGGTTAAGGTACTCTAGTTACAAAAATGACTTTGGTAAATATTTCTTACCTGCGAACATCCCCACTGCAGATCCAATTGCAGCATGCAAGCAAATAAGTGGGGAGGAGATAAGTAGAGCAACAAGAAAGATACCTCCAGTCCAGGGGTTTTCGCAGCCATACACTTGCCCAACACCGACTGGGATGGATTGCAAGAGCTGCAGCAGCCAGCAGAAAAGGGCATGTTATTCTAACTCTGAGGACACAACAGTTATTTCATCCTAGCTAATGTTTAGAAAGGAAAGGAAACAATCCTGGCTCTGAGTGAGGCTGCTGGGTAAATGTGAGTATTTTGTCCTTCAGTGTGAATTAGTTCACTGTTTGGTCTGAACTTCCTCAAGTTAAAGATGGACTATTGCTTCTTCTGGGATGGTAATATGATCTATGTAATATGGTAATATGGTCTCTTTCACACAACAAACACACAGAGTGTGTTGGGGGTGCCTTTAGTGGAAGACAAACAGTAACCTTCCTAGGCAGCAATACTGTGGTGGGGTTGATTTATTATAATCTATGAAATATACCAGTTATCTTTATGCTTCTTTGTGAGGGTGAACATAACAAAACCTTTTCCAGTGCTGGATCTGGCCTGTGGGGACAGGTTGTAAATGAATTTCTGTCCCTTTGATATCATGATGTTTATTCCCTCTTTTGATATTGCTATTGACTGTCCTGCTGATATCCCTTTAAACACATCTGGGCAGTGGGATTGAATATCGGGATGTACTTCTGTATCAAGAGTACTCGAGCCATGTTTTAGGGCAGTCTATCTTTAGGTGGAGTGAGAAGATCAGGATCTTTCTTCCCTCAGCCTTGATCACCCTTTCTGCTGGGTCAGCCAGGACTGTTCCTGGGGCTTTTAGGGCACTGTCTTCTATGAAATGAACTGAGCCAAGACATTTATCTGTGAATTGCTACAGGCTGTACATATCATATGCCCATTCTGACCTATTCAAAATTGTTATCCAGAGCTGAATGTCTTCACGTGCACATTTTTAATGAAATATCGTAAACTACTTGGGAAGAAACTTACCAGAGGCACATTGATTGCAGTCCAGGTAATATTGGGCACTGATGCTACAGGCTTGATGAGGGTTGTAGGGAAGAAGAGGTTGTAGTGTCCTGTGGCTGCCAAGTACAAAGTCACTGCAATATTGAAGGGCAGAGTGAAAACGGGAAGGTCCCATTTACTGAAGATGGATCCCAATGCACTGGTAAGGACTGGACTGAGTACAAAAGAAGAAAAGAAACAAGTATAGCTTGTTCATAATAGTTGAAGTGGTGAAACATCCTACTACTTCAGTCATAAGCTCTTGTAAACACAAGCGTTCTAGAAACTTTGGGTAGTTTCATATTCTAGACAGTATCAGATCAAAAGTTAGAGAATGATGTTTGTCTTTTTACAGCAATTATCACATCCAATTATCGGATATAAGGGTACGTGTAGTGTGAGGCTGTTTATTTGTTGAAGGAAAAAAACGTCTGACAAAAATGGGATAGTGGGGGGTTGGCGGATGAAGGGGAAAGGGAACAACCACTCAGACATGTCCTGATCAATCAGTGGAAATAGACTCTGACCAGATACCTGTACAGACTGATAAGGAAAGAGATGGAATATGGTAATGTTGATTCAAGCAAGGTTGCCTGACTGAGGATTTTTAAATTGGGCTAATAATAAAAATTAGAGGCAACTATAATCAGAATGCTGAGACAAGGACCCGACAAAGTAAAATGGAGACAATGACCAGAAACAAACCTCAAAGTCACACAGGTTGATGGGCTTGCAAACTAGAGGCCTGCTTCCAGGAAGATAAAGCTGGACTTTGCAGCTGATAAGAGGGACCCAGACTGGGAGGGTGCAGAAACTGGGTGCCATGGGGGGGTGGTGCAGGGGAAGGGCAGCAGGAGGATCAAAGAGGAGTTGGTAGAAAGAGTAGGGAAGGGCTAGTTGTGTATAAAATGGGGCAGTCAGTACGCTTGTCTGCTTGAACCCTGTGCCTGGTCACTGCAGTTTGTCCCATGCTCTTGTGTTTTCTCATTAAACCTTTTCTCAACTCTCTCTGTGTGTGTTCACACTCCCTCCCATGTGTGTGTGTCCCACAGGGTGGGACCTGTGTGTGTGTGTGAGGGAATTTAGTGCCAGCTGCTGGAGCCAGGCTGTGGGGTGTAGGCCTAGGGCTGTGGTCCCAGCTTTGGGAACCAGCAGGGCCCTGCCATCAGCTGCTGGAGGAGTGGGGTCTTCTCCTCCCAGCCCCGGATGGGAGCAGTGCGTGCTCCCAAACCAGCTGCTGGGGGACCGGCATGAGGGAAGAATGAGGGCTGGAGCAGGACCGTGGATCACAGCCCCTGTGCCTGAGGCTGGCTGCTGGCACTAAATTAACTCGCAAACCCATGTGTGCCTGGGGTATGTGCCCAGCTTTGCTACCAGCTGGGTCTGCAAAGGGGAAAGCGGCAGCCGCGTCCCCTGGCTTGGGCAGAGGCCCTGGATCCCAGGCACCAGTCTGGGCCCCAGCAGCTGGAGGAGTCAGCCATGGTCTGCACCTTGCTTAACAACAGGTGGTAAAAACGCCGTTCTGTCCTCTCAGGAAAGTTGGCTAGTGTATGGGTGCTCTGCTAGTTATGCCAGGCTCAGAGAGACAATAAAGAAATGCATCCAGAACTGTATGTAGGCCTGCAGGGAAGAAGGTGATCTGGCTTCTACTCCTGTAGAGAAATGTAGCAAGAAACAGAAGAGCAGATTTTGGGGAATACCACAGGAACAGCCATGGAAAACTGGTTGGTGAAAAAAGCTCCAGTCTTGAGGAGACAAGAGAGAAGAAGGAATTATATAAGTTGCATTTTGTGTGTTCAAATGGTTTGGGGAATACCAGAAGTGGTAAGACAGTTCTGGAAGAGGAATAAAGCAGGAGAGGTGATCAAGCAGGATGGAAAATCTTCATTAAGAGATGTAAAATATTAAAAACAAACACAAAATAAAAACACACACACAAAGGAAAAACAAAACAAAAAAAATCCCACTACCACCACCACCACCACCAAAAAAAAAAAAAAGTATTTGGCATTTCAAAAGCAACAGCTTGTGTCCTGTTGTGTAGATGCTATCAGTGGAAAAATGCTTTGTTCTCATTTTATATTCTCAGATGAAGCCTATTCTTTTATGACAAATTTGGTTTCCAGAGCAGTTACAGATTTCCTTGTCACTGTGGAAAAGAAAAAACACCACTTCAGTGAAAACAGTGTCCTAATTTCTGTGTTGAAATACAAAGCTTCTGCCAGTTATACATCTTGTCAGGAAGAAAGAAACAATTAAAGAAATGCTGACTTCCAAAGCTGAAATACAAAGTACCAGTTGAAAAAAATCACTGAAATGTTTAATTTTAAAGTCTTTCAGCTCTCCCCTCAAGTCCCCGAACTAGAAGAATAAGGAAAATTTTGAATAAAAAGCCTCAGGGAATTCTGGCAGGCAAGACAGACTAAACATTCTTGCAACATGTTCTGGGTTTTGAGAGGGTGTCACAAAATGACCTTCGCTGAGAGTGACTAATGAAATAAAATATTGAAAAATCTGATTTTAAAAGCAGTGAAATGCAATAATGATTTGTGTCTTATCACTAGCAGTGATTAAAATGTGACTCAAATTAATTTCAGTCGAAGCTGTTAAGCAGATTCTGCAGTGCCGTTAAGGTCTGTATTTAGCATTGGTAACTAATCCTGAAAGGACATTGTCTGGCATTCAGAGCTACTTGGAGGAATTAATTTTGCTCATGACTGGTTGCGGATCTGAACGGGGAAGATTGAATTCAGCCTGAGGGAGAGCTCCAGGTCAGTTCAGTGCCTGGGTAAAGGAGGACAGTTGGGGTGCTGAGCGCAGTGACACCTGCCCTGAATGTGGTCTGCTGATGAGGGCCATTTGCAGAGTGTTGAAGTAGAGCTGCTTTATCCTTCTGCTGTGATTAGCTTTGTCAGTGCACTCGGCCTTCTACCAAGGTGTTTGACAAGCTCTGTGCATCAATGAATGCCCTTTCCAGCACTGCTGTGGCTGGAGCTACTGATGTAGGAGACTGGGCAGAGGGGACTTGCAATGTCTTTAAGATGCACATAGCAGGATTCCTCATTCTCTGAGAATTGTCCCTAGCAGAAGGGATGCTTACCAGGCCATGGATGTAACTGCCACAGGAGGAAGAAGCCACCAGTAGTAGTCCCCTTTGTCAGAGTAGACAGCCATGAGCAGTCCCACCAAGATCCCGTTATAGCCATGCTGCCCGGCTGCAATGGCTGATCTGTGATGGAAAGAAACGTTTGCAAGGCAGAAGGTGACGTGTCACAGAGACCCAAAGAAATACAACTTAAAAATGCCCTCCTTCTGGAAAAAGGACTGTAGGGAGAGGATGGAAAAAATGCTGGATTGGTGTGCAGAGGGAGGAGGCAGTTTGGAGCCCATTGAACCGTGATGACCCACAAGGGAAGCTGGTCTGCTGGTTCTGATACACCTGAACGTGAGGCTGTGACCCCTCAGCAGGTTCCTGACACCATAATGATCATCCCAGCCACGAGCTTCCACCTACCTGTCCTGGCTGAGGGCCAGTGCTGTTAACGTTGACACAACTGATCCAGCGCAGCCCGTGAGCATCCACCAGGGCTTCTGGATGAAAAGCCCCACTAAAATGAACAGCCCGCTGAGGGGGTTGTTGACAAACATCACCTGGGAGGTGCCTCGCAAGATCCAGTCCACCAGCTGAACCATTAGGGGCTTATCTGGAGGAGATCAAATAAAATTGCTGGTGATAAGGCAGCATTTCAGCAGGGCCTCTTCAAAGCACACTCAGCTCTACAGTTGCTTTCTGGCCACAGAACAGAGGCGAAGTATCAACAGGACTGTAAAAATGGTCTCTGATTTATTGCTGTCTGAGCATATTTTGCATCTGGCACTTGAAAAGCTAACAGGGGTGGACTGGGCACTGCTATAAAGTCCATGGAGGGATCCATAAAAAGTGGTTTATTTATGGTGGTCAAAAAAATAGTCTTTCTTGCACAGTAGGTTGCATAAGATTCTGCTATAAATGTAACAAGGAGATAGACCCTTTTCTATGTATAATTCAGACAGAGAGGGACTTAGGCAAAGGCTGAAAGCAATCTGTGTGGGGATAGGGAAATATAAATAGAAACACTTCTGCTGTTTTAGGGAGAGAGTTGGCAATCCATGATATGGAGGCACACTATATACAGGAGATGGGATCAAACTCACGAAGTTTAAAAATATTATATATAAAAGTACTTTGGGAAGTGAAGAACCTGAGTGAAGACAACAGTTACTATAGCTCAGACTGTCCTCAGAGAAAAGAGGCATTTCCAAAGCACAAAGGGCCACTGCTCTTCAGGGAAGCCTACTGGACAGAGCAAATGGACCCCGAGCTTGAGTGCCTCAGGTGAGTGCAGGGGCAGGTGGGATGTGCGTGGCTGCCTGAGCGTATCTCAGCACGGTGCTCCTAGTGATCTCCGTGGGCAGAGGAGGGTCTTGCAGCACTGCAGGAGCTCTGTTGCTGGCTTTTCTATTGTAAATGGACCCGAGGGCTTTTGCTGCCAAGTTTGAGGGAGAGGTGTAAATGGCATTGTGCTGCTGTGTGTTAATAAGCATGGTGTAAGGAGAAGATACGAAAAAGACGGTGTGCTTGCATGTACAAGATGTTCTTAAAAGGTGTATATACATTTTTAATCTTTGTAAATATTTAAAATTAATTGTTTCTCAGTTTACATTGTTAGTTAGGCACAGTGCAAAGTACCAGGCTACTTCTTGAACCCGGGCAAAATCTTTTTTCCTAATAGCTTTCTCTCACCCCCTTTTCCACTTCCCTTCTCTGTTGTATTTATATTTGAGTCTCAAGACCCGTTTTCCAAGGAGAGAAGCTTAAATAGAGGATCTCTGAAGTGCTGGGTACCACCCTGTATCTCTTCAGCATCCCTGGGAGAGCCCTCCCAAAAGGCTGGAGTGTGACTTAAGGGATGGCTCTGCAGGCATCCCTCGGGCGGTGTGTTGATGTGGAGCCAAGCAGTTATAACCAGGAGTGAATGAGCTCCTTAGAGAAAAGTGATTGGGCTCGTTTGGGAATTCTTACTAAAATTCACTGTTGTGCTATGAAATTTATCAGCAGTGTTCTTGGTGTTAGACACCAGTATTAATAGTATTGAAATATGGTTACACTGTGCAGGGGTAGGAAGCTTTTCGGGACACTGAATAATAAAAGTGTTCTGCCAAGCACAGGCCACTGGAGAAAACAAAGAGGGGATGTTTTCCCGTGGCTGGGGACTGTGCTGAGCCCCCTGCATGGAGGCATCTCAGCCCACCTCCTCCACCAAGGATGGCCACCGCGCAGCCCAGCAGGCTGCACACAGCTGTCTCTTATTCTTTCCCCTTGCAGGAGTCGTGCTGCTAATGAACCTAGTCCTGACAGAGGACCCACAGTCTTGCATAGCCTCCCAGAGCCCCTAATCCCCAATAATTCTGGGTAACACAGACCATCTGCTCATGTATTGTTCCTGCCCGGACAGTAAACCTTTTGAGATCAGGACTTGCTTTGTACTTTATCAGAACAAAACACCCGCAGTGCTTACTGCTCCCCGAAGAATGGTTATACAAGAGCCTTTGCCCGCACATGCAGGAGCCAAGTCCCCACTGCCAGCCCACACGTGGCTGAGGAGATGGCTGCTGATCTAAAGCACTTACAAATGAGACCAAACTCCCAGCCCTGACGTGTGATTCTGGGCACCGCCGCCAGGAACATGATGCTAATGACATAACTGATTAAGTGTAAAAGACATCTTCTTGCCTGTGCTGAATTGTGTGCAGCCATGGTAATGGCAAGAGCATGCAGTGAGATTCCTTTCGTGAGAATAGAGTAATTTGGGCTAAAAGGACAGAAGTTGGCAGTGAGATTGAGCCATGCCTCCCCAGAAGCTGAAACAGCCCCTCGCCTTGTGCCCCAGCCCTATTAGTGCTAGTGGTGACATAGCTGCTCCAGCTCACTCCTTGAGAGCCCCAAACACATCCCCATGCTTACTTTTCATCCACTCTCCATATTCTTTCATTTCTCCCGTGAGATACTTGAAGACTCGGTGGATTTGCTTTCCGTTCTTCCCCAGCAGGTCCTGGGTTCGTGGCTTCTGCTCTGCGTACAAATTCCTCTCGCCTGGACTCCCAGTCACTACAATTTCTCCGAGCTCCATCTCCTTTGGGTGGTGAAAAGAAGGAACTGTAAATCAAAAAGTTTGAGTGTTAAAAAACCCCTTGGGTTGTGCTCTGGCAACTTTCTGCTGTAGGTTAGAGCCCCTTGGCGATATCCTTTTTTCAAAGATGGGACATTTCATGGAAGACACCTGCCTGAACCCATGCTGGGAGCAGCATGAGCTGCCACCTGGCACAGCGGGTACCTGCTGTGGTTGTCTTCTCCTGGGGATGAGGACCAGGAAATGACCCAGTGCTGCCGTGGAGCTGTGGCACAGAGTTGTGAGGTGGCAGAGTGGATATGGAGCATCTCACCCTGATATGTGACAGGTTGGACAGTGGACATGGTGCCCGAAAAGTTACCAAGCAGTGCCTGCCTGCTGGCCAGAGCTGCCTGACCTGCTGGAGGGAAGCAACATGAGTTGCCAGTGAGGTAGCAGGCAGCAGGAGACAAGAAAATAAATACAGTGCCTGAGCTCCTCCTGGTGTTTTGATTTGGAACTGTTGCACGGCACGGCAAATATACAGCCTTGCCATGCTCCCCATCCCACATCTGCCTTTGATAGACCACCACGAGCAAACTGGGGCAGCATCAAAGAGTTATGCAGAAATTGGTGTCCAGCGTGGCTCTGCACAAAGACAAGCATCAAAGCTCCGGGCTGTAGGCTCTTTAATTAGCCGGTGAGCATCCAGGCGAGATTATGTGTTTATTAAACTCCAAATAACATTTGCAGGGCTCTGTTCATTAAAAAGCCCGTTCAGATATAAACGCTTAAGAGAAAATACACCGCGCCCCACTGAGCTACACTGCAGGTGACACCTTCCTAGCTGTGTTTGTGGGTTTCGAGGGGTTCACCGAGAGCCTTCCCCGCGTTTTGTGGAATACGGGCACCACCTTCTGGTGGGATCTGTTTTTTTTTTGGGAGCTCAGGCAGGCTAGTGCGCAAAGAAAGCAGGCTGGGAGGGATGCCTGGCTGAGGGGCGGCTGTTTTTGCTGGGAGATGGGAAAAGGCTCCGTGGCTCTGCATGCTCTGGGAAGAAAATCCTTGACCACCAGAAGGCGTTTTCCCTTCACCCCGGGCATCACGATGCTAAATGCAGCTCTGGAAACGTCAGGCAGTGCTTGCTGCCTTGTGCTTTGGCTCTCTCTGCCGGCAGCTCGTCCCTACCGCACACGGCTCTTCGCAGTGCCCTTCGAGCACCACCAGCACCGGCTGGGGCCGGGCGCGCTGGGCAGGCGGTGTAGCTACCTGTAGCCGTCAAAGCTGAGCCTAACAGCACTGCTTGCTTGATCCTGAGGGTGAGGAGGATTGTAGAAAGGTATTTGGAGCATCTCTTCGGATCGCCAAGTCACAGGGATGTGTCGCTAAAGCAAGGGTAGTGGCCCTTTTGCTGCAAACGATGTCTGTGATCAGCAACAGAGTGCAGCTGTAACCAGCAGGGAGAGTAAGTGCTGAGTAGTTGCCTGTCTTCTTGGCACCTGAATGGCTCATGGCCATTTTAAACCTTACCACAAAAAATACAGTTGGGTTTTACAAAGGGGAAATGTCCCTGCAGAGCTTCTAAAGTCGGGATTTACGGGACTGCGTTGCTCAGCTCCCCCTGAAATTGAGATATGGGGCCTGTATATGTCTTAAAATTCCTGCCCTCTCTCACACAGTTTAACTAGTAGGGGTTAAGTGCAAAGCAGTCGCGTGAGAGCCTTTTGCCATCGGTACAGAGAGAGGCTAGTACCCCGGGAGAGCGATTCATGTCACTTTTGTCATGTGCCTGTATTAGCTGTGGATAAAGGGGTGCCTCTCTCTTTCCGCTGGCTGTAGAGGGAGCCTGGCTGCTGAGCTTTGAGGGCTATTTTTAGGTGAGCGAAATTCCAGCCTAAGAGCTTTTGCCAAGGTCAACCTTAAAGTTTATGGAAGAGGGATCTGGAGTCCCAGGCTAGTGCTTTAAATCACTGAACCATCTGTAACAGGCCTGTAATCTGCATCGAGAAGGGCACCCGAGCTGAGGGGCTAAGAAAAGTTATGGTCTCATGATTCCTGTTTGCTGTCGCCCTGTGGATCAGAAGGGAATTAAATCTCTTTTTGCAAGGAGCACGCTCACCCACCTCAGCTGGGGAGGCAACCCGGGATGTGACTGGAGGAGATGCCTGAAGAATTACCAACTTTCTGGGGAAGAAAATGATACCAAAAAGAGATGGGGATGCTGAAACCCTCCACACTGGCACAGCAGTGACCCTTAAGGCTTTGTAGCAGAGCAGCCTGAGGCGCTGCAAGCAGCTAGAGGAGATTCTGGAGGGCTGGGATGGGCACAGGGATCCCTGCAGCAGTCACCCTGGAAAAATACATTTCTTTGCAGTGAGCACCTGTCAGTCGGCAGGCGTGTGCTCAGTGGTACAGGCTCCAGGAATAATAGAGAAATCATTTGAACAATTAGCTAATTAGGGCTAATGAGAGCCTGAATCACTTATGGCACACCTAGGGCTGATGGGGAATTCCTTGAGAAAAGGGCCTTTTGTCAGCAAACAGTGATTCATCACTGGTAATGAGCTATCCTGCATGTAGGAACATTTGTCAGGCTGCAGGGTAGTGCATGGTGCTTGGGGCTCATCTCTGGACCTTCCTGTGCCCAATCATTCCCAAGTAGACTGCTGTTAGAGCATGCTTTTGGGGTGCAAGGTAAAGATAGCACAGCTCTTTGTATTTTTAAGCCTCCTAGAGAAAGCACTGGGTTTCTCCTTGGCTTTTTGTTACTGGAGTAAACATTAGTGGCGTAGCACCCTCACACATCCTGCAGAGATCTGGCTCCATAAGCAAATAACAGTACGAGGGGGCTGCGAATAGTGGGACAGTGCATGACCAAGGTGTGAGTGGATACCTTCAGGATACCTGAATCCAAAGCTGGGCATTTGCTCTTTTCCTGTTTTTATGAGCCCATGCTGTAACCTCCCTCCTTGTAATGAAAATCCTGGCTTTAAAATTTCGAGGTGCTTAAACAAGTACTGGGTTAGCACATTTGCTTTCAGGATGCAAATCTTTTCTCATCATGATTTCTAGCTGTGTAATCTTGCATGGTAGAAACTTCAGTTCTTTCTAGCTTGAATCCCCTGGTGTCACCTGGCTCCGGGGTGTGGAAATTAAAGGGAGCCAGCAGGAGTGCAGGGAGGGCTGAAAGCATAGAGGTGATCAGAGAAGTGTTGACTTCAAGGGACGTGGCCTCGCAAGGGCCTTGAAAAGGAGCAGTTTGTAAAAGCATGTTGGTCTCAGAAGAAACCATAAAGAAATAGAAAAGAAAAATAGTGTACAGCTAGAGGGCAAAACTTTGGGATGGTGACAGAATGCCTGGCTGAGTCGTAATGGCTTTACCGAGCAGAGCTCTACCAGGGATCAGTGACACCGAAATGAATGAACAGAGCAGGGTATTTCAGAACAGTCATGGAAGCTGAATGCAGCCCAGTGGCAGAGGTACAAAACACCTAGACACAGACCTTTAAATAAACAAAACAATGCAAACAAACAAAGGGACCCAACAGAAACACAGCACTCAGGTAAGCTTGTTTCCCATCACAGGCATTAAATGAAGCCACTTTCCAGAGCAATTATGTCATATCTGTGCAAACATGTCTATTACATCCAGATTTAGATGCTTGGCTGTTATGATACAGTCTTGGAGTCTTTCTGTATCTTTTTTTTTTTGCTTTGTGTATTTAATAAAGCAGTACCTCTCTTTACTGCTTCTTCATTTCCCCCTGTTGCAGCAGCACCTCCCAGCCTGTCCAGTGGAGGCACAGAATTTAGCTGAAGGATTGTCCTAGTGTCTTGGGTAGGCAGCCTGCTCATACCGTTCCTGTAGGGGCTGCACATACACATATATGTGTGTGACAGTGCAGAAGGAGAGCTTGACTTCCTTACCACAGCTACTAAGTGACCAGCCGTGGGTATCTCCAGTGTACGGGTCTGCCTCTGAGCAGCTTAGCTTTGTAGTGGGGATGAGCTGGTCAATATATGGATCTAGAGCATGGCTCATCCCCTGCCATCCTGTACAGATAAATCGTGGCATAAACTGTTGCATTTGCTGTCTGCAAAGGGAAAGACAGCTCACACAGCTGCACCGCGTATATGGAGGGAGAGGGACAACGAATCTCACCAAAGTGATTATCCCAGGGTCATCTGGGAAATTTGTAGCTGGCTGGGGTATCAACCAAGGACATGTTAATGTTTGAACTGAGCACCTAATGTATAAAGAATTTTCAAAACGCTCACTGTTTTTTTTTTTTTTAATAATAAAAGTAGTCAGACCAGGTAGATATTTTAAGATGCAAAAATCCTGTTTTCTTGCATATGGTTTCAGTTATAAAACCAGAGGGGAAAACAAATAGAGAAAATATGAAATATAAACACCGTGGCTTCTAAACAGAATGTTTTTCAAAGGTTTCCATGAGGTGTTGGCTGCTCTGCAAAGCAGACTGTAAAACAACTTTACAAGCCACATTTATTCTAAGAGCTCCACTTATTGAAGTACAATTCAAACTCTTGTTCTGCGGGCCAAGTTCCATAAATTAAACACTTGTCCAATAACACATACCTCTCCTCTTGGATCCTCTGTTTCTTTTTGGCTTTGTGTGTCTGTGTCTCTCACTCTTATTCAAAAATTCTTTGCAAATGGAAACAACAACAACAAAAAAAGGTCTGCTTGTTTTAGGAATGAATTTAAGAAATGGACCAATAAAATAAAAATAAGGAGAGGAAAAATAAAACAGGTCAACGTTTTAGTTCATCCACCTCAGACTTTCTTTCCGTTATTTTGCATCTTGGTGACGCTGATTTAGGGCCAGGGCAAAATCCACAGCGTGGAGCTGCGTGGTGTCAGACCTCTGCTGACAGGGTGCCTCAGCTCCCTGACACTGCACAGGGAGCTGGGTGTTCAGAGCAACCAGCAAAGCAACCTGGAGCTGAGACGGGGCATGGGACCTGTGCCTGCCTTTAAAGAGCCCCCAGTTTCCCTGTGATCACTTCCCAGAGGGTTATGGCCTTAGAGATTTGATTTCAAGCAGGACCAGCCATTTATTGCGAAGGAAGGGACGGGCCCGTTGTGCTGTGGCTGGCGAACTGAATGGTGGTCTGAGATGTTTTCCATCCTGTCTGACCTGGAGCAGGAGTGGGTCCATGGATGTGCCATGGAAAAACCCTGCCCCTGGGCTCCCTGGGGCTTCCCTTTCCCATTTCTCCTGCTGCTCTCTGTCATCACCCCTCTCCCAGCCTGTAACTCTTGCTGCTCTTTCTGCTCAGTGCCTTGCACCCAGGCTGTGCCCAAACCTTGCAGTTTCTTTCTGCATGATGGCTTTTGAAGTCTGATTCATCCAAGGAGCTAAAGCCCTCACCTCATCTCTCATCGTAGCACTTCTCCTTTAGCACAGCATCCATCTCTCTGGGCTTAGCAGCCATTCCTGTCCTGTTGTACCACCGTTCTCCCAACCCTCATTCTGATGTGGCCCTCTGTCCTTCTCCTTCCCATTGACCATAACCTGCATGTCTTCACTTTCAGAACCAGTTATTGCTCTTTCTCACCAGTGGAGAAAAATTAATTTCCACATCCACCTGACCTGTAATGCTTTTGCTATGAGTATTTCTAAGGATTATAGAAGTGCAGAGTGGAGGTTGGAAAGGACTTCTGGAGGTGGTGTGGTCCAACCCCTTGCTCAGGGAGGGCCACCTAAAGCCAGTTGCACAAGGCCATGTCCAAATGGATGCTCTTCTGGTAGACAAAGCTTAGATGTCCCAACAAGAGCTACTTCTGCCTGGCTGAGATACTACAACAGACAGGAATGAACAAGTGGATGAGGAAGGAAACAAGCTTTTAGGATATTTCAGTGTGGAAGAAACCAGATTTAATTCAGCTGCTACTCAAGGTGCTTTTAGGAAGTCTGTTTGTGTTGCAATGAAGTTGTAGCAGCTCTTGGGGTCAATCCTAAAGGCTTGAGATGTGGTCGTTAGGGGTGGTGATGACTTCTTAAACTCTCTCTTCTCCCATCTGCTCTGCCGCAGGAGGGCTGCCTGAGGTCAAATAAAAGTTTTCTGATATCTCCCCCTGGCTTCTGAGGTGAAGCCTGGGTGCTCTCACTCCCTGGAGCACCAAGGGCATGGTGGGGCTGGAGGATCTGTGTCTCCAACACCATCCTGTGGGGCCTAGGTGATCTTTGACCCTTGTCACTTATGTGCACACAAAACCCAAATGTGGAATATATATTTGGAAACCATTTCTATAGCAGACAGGGGTAGCTGGTGGCTAAACCTGTAAACCCTTCTGCTGGTTTCAGAAAACCTGTACAAGTCATCGGCAAAAGAACCTCATTTTGGTGTGAAATATGCTGCTGTTTTTTAGCTGAGTGAGGAAGAACCAAGCCTCTTTCCAAGAAAGCTTTGCCTGTAAATGTTTTAAGCGCAGGAACAATCACAGGGTGGCTGCTATTTCCGGGTCGATCCAGCTGAGTACTGGACTGCCTTTAACAATGCGTGGTAAACCACAGGCTGTAACGTGCTAGGTGCTGTTCACAATGAATAAAAATGTCAGAGCTTGGCCAATATTTGGTTCAAACTTGAAACAAAACACACAGCATTTTAACGGGGTAACCATAAAGACATTTCTCCATATATTTCATGTTGCTTGCTCTTTAATAGAAAGTTAGCGGGGATTTTCTTTTTTAGATAGCTACAATTTATCGTGTGTTTCCCTGGTAACTACAACACTGTGAACCTTCCCTGAAAACTCCATTGGGATTCCTGCAATGTTAGTGAGCGTAATGAATGGTAAATGTAAAGCAAACCCATTGAATCACTTTATTTTAAATTCTGGCAGAGACATAATTTCCCACAGTTCATAAACATTTACAAAAATGGAGTTTACATGTAGAAAAACAGTTGTTTTTATCACTCGGATCAAAGAACACGTTTATCTGGATGTACATGTGCATTTGCAGCCAGCGTTTGAGAAACTCGGGTGACAATCTTTAAGAAGCTTCACAGGCTAATACCGAACCTTTGAAGTCTGCAGCTTTGCTCACCTGAAAATACAGACATCACTTCTGCTCTCTGCTTTGCATGAGTCTGAAGTTTACACTTCAAAGATTACAGACGACAGGCCAAATTCCCCAAGTTGCTAGCAGCACTGGAGCTTATCGACTAGAATGAAATGGAAAAGTAGGGCAGGTTTCAGGACACAGGACTTCGCATCCACACCCACGCAGGGATTGTGCTGCTCGCGAGCCAGATGAACGGCACTTGCGCCCTGGAGAAGTGGCTCTAAGCCTTCTGAAAACACAGCGGAGGGACTCCTGTAATGCTAATGACCTCTGTATCAGACCCTAGGATGGAGGAAGCAGAGGAGCAAGAGCTGCAGATAACAACTCAGTGGCTGCCAAGGCTCCTGGCAGACCCTGGCACCGCTCCACGGCCCGGGCTTCCTTTTGTTGCAGCAGCGCTGGATGGAGTCTGGTTTCCATCTCCAGTTTTATCCCTCTGTAGTTAATAGAATGCCACTAATATAAGCGAGAAAAGGGTCATATCCATCAACCTCAGTGGAACTGCTCTGGATTCATGCTGTTTTACATAAAAGCTGTTCCTGGTGCTGTGAGCAGGTGGGGGCTTGTTTCCTACAGGGACAAACTGACTTTCCACGCGCTACTGAAGCAGCACACGTCCCGGGGCAGGTCTGCACCACCTCCAGCACTGACTGCATCTGCATGCAATGTCTGTGTTACGAGGCACACCTAGTTGCAGCCTGAGAGTGTCAAGAATGGCTGGCATTTGGGAAAGGGTTTGGAAATTTATAAATGGGGTGTTCTGCTGAGGCAGAGCAACACCCTCCTTTATAAAGATCTCCAACAAGAAAAAAAAAAAAAGATTATTTTTTAATTTTGGGGTCTTTCAGAATACTCCATTTTGCTTTAATCTTTTAAAATGCAATATATCTGTAATATCGAGTTACAAATAAAATGAAGTGTGGTTTCAAAATGAGAAACTGGAACACTAGAGGCTGACTAGCATTAGAGATTTTCAGAAGAAAATTGCTGTGTCCTGAGATTTCCACATTTCTGTGGAGTTCTTTGTTTTGTGGCTACATTTTTTTTATTTTTTATTTTTTTTTCTCCCTGGTGCTTTGTTACTGCGCTGTGAGAACTGTAATATCGTGTAACTGAAACATCAAATACCTCCCACCATCAGAAGATGTCTTTGGCATATTGTGGTGGGCAATATGTTTGTGTTCAACCAGGATGCTCAAATCACACACAGGGTTGTGACAAGGATCTAATAAGGTTGAAAGCACATGAAACCTGATTAAATGATGTTTCTAATTAGAGGCGGGTATTATTTATCAGAAATGCAAAAAGTTTTTAAATTAAATTTGGGGTCTGAGAGGGTCAGATGACAAATGCACAAATTAGTTTAATCCTAATTCTTGTATGAATGGAGCATGTGGTCTAGGAATCTAGGAACTCTGCTGCAGCAAAGCTATTAAATGAGGGATTTGTGGAGCGGGCAAAGGAAATTTTCACCCTCCCAGCTGAAATGCCAGGGAAATTGTTCATTGGGTGGGTCAAAAGATATTTTGTGAGGGCCTCCTCTGAAAGGCACTGTGGGGTACTGGGATAACCTCCCATCCCTAATACTGAAAGGAGAAAGTGGGATGTGTAACTGCTTATTTTCCTGGCATCCTTACGGGGTTTGCAGAATTCATTCAGGGGGAATCCCTGGGATGTGTGCACACTGCAGGCTGCATGGCACAGCTTGGCACACGGGTATCTTCACTGAGGGCACACCACTGAGCTTGCCCCAGTGCAAGCTGGAGCTGTGGTGGCCCCATTAATGTTCACATTTGCTTCCATTCCCATAACCTTCAGCTCTGTGTCTCTGGTTGCTGTATCTCAGCCCCAGTTCTCAGTTCTCTGCACCTTCTTGTGCTTCCTAGACCTGGACAGACATGCCTAAGTGTCTGTCATACCTAAGATACCAGGTGGATGATCTTGCCTAGGAGAACTGCTCTAGGCACTGTGATGCACATGTGCCTTGTGAGCTGGGTGGCAATAGGGACATTGCTGGCTCATGTTAAGGCCACCTGGGTTGTGTAAGTTGTTGTCTGAAGTTCAGACCTCCCAGTGGACACGTGATGTTATCTCAGGGTGCCAAACATCCTCCTGGTTGAGGACTTCAGCCAACACCAGAATGTGCCTTTTGTTTTCTGGAGACTGAGTTACGAACTTAGAAACAGGGGTATGGTTTGTGACATTCAGGGCTGCACATCCCAGTTTATTGATTTATTTTTCCATACTGAGGACATTTTTTACCAGCTTGTCTTGGCTACAGTGGGTGCTGGGGCCAGGGGGCTTGAGCACTGGGAGTGGGGTTAGTGCCCTCAGTACAGGGGATTGATGAGACTCAGGTTTGTGCAGGGATATATTTTAGGTGAAGCACTGATGCTCGTGAGGAAAGGGATGGGACAGAAAGACATAAAAGAGCATTTTGCCAGACCTCCTTCTGTATTTCATTTGCAAGTGTATGTACTGCAAAGAGCGCAGCCAAGGGCTGGAGATGTATTCAGGCTGGGCTTCCAGAGAAGAAAAGCTGGAGAGCCAGGATTAGGTCAATTCTTAATTCATGCAGAGGAAAGCAAAAGAGGGAGTGGGACTTAGAGACCTGATCAGAGTTATGGCATGTGAACAGGGAAGCAGAGCCAAAGTCATGGCCAATTTCTGTAGTTCATACTCAATTATTCTACTGGAAAGAGGTGGAAATGTGTTGGTGTCTGAGACGTGTTCCCAACTTCACCCCACGTGTGTGAATAACACCCTGTTCCCTCTTGGTGCTGGGCGGGCAACCCAGTTTGGGGCCTACCCCTAGGCTGGGCAGGTTTGTGGTTAGTTGCACGTGTGGAGGGGATTTGGAAGAGCATGGTGGCAGGTCTTGGGAATTTAAAATTTAATTTTATTTGTTAAAAGTTATTTTAAAATTAAAATACAATTTGAAGTTTTAGAATTTGTTCAGGACACGTATCTTCAGGATCTGCATGTTTTAAAAATAAAATTCTATATTCCTCGTTTTTGGTTATCAGTGTGTCCCTGCAACGAAGTACTCTTCAGTTGGGGTTCTGGTTGTGAAAAATATTGCTGCAGAATGAGAAGTAGAGCTGAATTTTGTTGATCTCACTTGATTTCATTGCCTTATTGTGAATTTGTGCTCCATATGTATTCTTAACAGAGGCTGGTCTTAGATAAGGGATAACCTTTATGAAACTGTTGATTACAGAACTATGGTTATATTTCTATGTGCTTCTCCTGTGGTTGAGAGTATTGGTATCACTTTATTTGAATACCTTAACTTCAAGTTTTCTGTGGTGCTTTATGACTGTTTTATTCCCTATATTATTGTTCAAGTTACTTTTACAGGACTTGAAAGAAGCATTGCAGATCCAAGCTTATAGCTGAACTTTGGCATGACAGTGAAGGAAAATATAAAGTTTGCATCAGCTTGTTTTACTCGCAGTGAATTTTCACGTGGAAGAATATGCCTTATCTATAGCCAAGGTGAGGTTTAGTGCTAGATTCTATTGTAATGCTCAAAATGCAACATTTTGTTTCAATGAAGGCTCTGAATTGTGTGGAGGAAATGTCTAACTGGAGTCAGCTTATTTAAGTGCTGTATTCTTAGGCTTGTGTGGCCTTGAGTGCCTTGTTGACAGCCAGTGCTTGGGTAATATAGGGTTTATGAGACTAAAGGATGCATAATGAGGCTTATAATATAAATTTGCCAGTTGTACTGAGGCCAGTGCAAAGGTTGTGATTAGTTTGGAGGGTCATGAAAAGTTGAATTGGAAAGCCAGGGGTTTGGCTGTAGTTTGCCAGCTGCAAAGCAAAGAGCTGAGGTCTGCTTCCATTTGGTTTGAATCCCTTAGTCTGAAGGCCTTGTCTGGAGCCAAAGTCAAGGGTGGATTTGGGGTCAAGATGCACTCAAGGGTCCTTGTTATGCACCAAAATACTTCTCCATGAGGCTGCTCTGGGATTTCCTGTGTTTCTAGGAAGAGCTGAAATGCTATGGTGACACCATCAATGAAAAAAACACACTATCAATAATGTTGTCCTTGACATCAGATGTCATCTCTGGGCCATGGATTTTGTTTTCCCCATCTGTGGGATAAGCAAAATCCCAAGAGTGATCCTCATGTCCCACACTATGAGTAAATAGTGCTTTCTAGGCTGGGTACTCTGACTTCCCATCCATGCTGTCCCTCTGGCAAAGCCACAGAGCCCAATCTTCCATTTATGCTGTTAGGGGTGGTGATAAAGCAGAGCCTACCTCAGAAGCTACCAGAGAGATTTTAGTAAATATTTTAGAGCATCTTAGCTAAAATGTTCATGAAGGAGTAATGTATCACTTTGTTTTGTGTTATGAGAAGAGAAGAAATGGTTAGATTTCCCTCTCTGTCTCTTCCTCTGGATACAGAAGAATATTGTTTTAGGTAAAGATGCATTTTATTGCTAAAAAAGCAGTTTCAGGTCACTCCACATATAGCAATAACTGCTGTATTTAGCAGAGCACTTTGTCAGAAGAAAACAAAAAAGATCAAATGCAGGGAGGGAGAATCAAAGAGTTATGATTTAGTTGTTTTTTAAAGCCTAGTTTAGCTAAATTCAGTGATAATTTTTCAAAGGAGAAAAGTGCCGCCGTAAAACATTTATTGCATTTTTGTGCTTGTTTTCATTCCTTGGAGAAAAATGAAATGGTTTCAGACTCATCTAATGCTATTTTTTTTTTTTTTTTTTGAGTTCAATCATTAAAACCGAAAATCAGTTATTCACACAGTTCTCATTATAGATTATACTAAAGGCAGAAGCTGTAAGATAGCTTTTTGGATGGCCTGACCCAGAACCATTTCCGAAGACATCATTTGGTTTAAACGGATGTTGGCAAGATCCGTATAAGTATGTGAATGATTAAAGAAAGCCAGATTTTTTAAAATAATAATAAGAAAAGATCTGAGTGTGAAAAGTCCTACAAGACGTGTGTGAGAACTAACTCATCTGCATGGCTTGTTCTCAGACCAGTTTGGTGGAGAATTGTTGAGGCCTGAGGCACAAAGAAAGCTGTTTGGGCAGCAGAAGCCAACTTGGAGGCTGTAAAGTGATTTG